GGAAATACAGAAATTGTCAGTTACACAGATGCAGATTGGGCTGGATGTCCTTGGGATAGGAGATCGACATCAGGATATTGTGTCCTATTCGGAGGGAATTTGGTTTCTTGGAAAAGCAAGAAACAAGATGTGGTTGCACGATCAAGCGCAGAGGCAGAATACCGAGCAATGGCACTAGGGATTTGTGAACTAATTTGGGTTAAGCAACTTCTCACAGAACTCAATTTCTGCAAGCTTGGGCCTATGAAACTAGTTTGTGACAATCAGGCAGCTCTACATATTGCCTCCAATCCTGTCTACCATGAAAGGACCAAACATATCGAGGTTGACTGCCACTTTATACGCGAGAAGGTTGCATCCGGAGTCATTGTTACCACATTTGTTGGGTCAAACGATCAACTCGCTGATGTTCTCACCAAATCTCTTCGTGGACCTAGAATTGAATATATTTGTGGCAAGCTGGGAGCTTTTGATTTATACGCTCCAGCTTGAGGGGGAGTGTTGGAATATGAGCAGTGTTAGAATATGAGCAGCCTACACTTATTATTATGCTTTTATTATGCTTTTAAGTCTTTGGGGAGTGGAATAGTTTCAGACCTTTTATGTCCCTTCCCAATACTTGTTATCTTCCTATATAATGTCTTGTAATGTGTTGTTCTTTCGAAGATGGAATAACAAGAAGATAGTTCAGGTTCCTTTTAGTTTACCTTTCAACAAAAAGGAAATAGAATTGTTGGGAATTCTAGATTATAGTGCACTTGTTCTCATGTATAATCAGTTGCCAGAATATTTGAAAGGTTGTTTTCTATATCTAGGAGTCTTTCCAAAGCGCAGTGAGATCCAAGTTAAAATACTTCTTAGGTTATGGATTGCTGAAGGATTTGTGAAGCCATCGAGGAATAAGGAGTTAGAAAGGATTGCTTATTGTTACTTAAAGGACCTCATTGATAGAAGTCTTGTGTTAATAAGCAAACAGACTTTTGATGGCAAAATTAAGACTTGTAGGGTGCACGGTGTCATGCATAACATCTGTTTCAGAGAGGCTCAAAAAGAGGGAATTTTATGTGCAGTAAATACTCGGCAACTCCCAAGGTGGTCATTAAATGCATTTGCAAATTCGTGCCGTTGGTTAAGTTTATGCAATCATAGGTTTGACTATTATGTGTTGTTTAGTTCAAACAACCCTCGCTCCATTTTCTTCTTTCAAGAAAACACTGAAATGTTTGTATCCTTGAAGCTGTTAAGAGTTTTGGCATTTGTTCAATCTTCGTTCCTCCAAAGACTGCCAATGCAGCAATTAGGAGATTTGATATTTTTAAGATATTTATCGGTAACACAATGGTTTGAGGGTCTGAGTGATGTTGTGTCAAGTAATATGAATTTGCAGACACTTATTGTTTCCTGTAGTGAGAGTGAATCACAAGTTGGAGCACCTATTTTCCATTTGCCATCAACAACTTGGGAGTCACCACAGTTAAGGCATCTTGAACTTGGCACTTGCTATGCTGTCAATCCTCCAAGCATGGTAAAAGAGAATTTGCAAACATTATCTTGGGTGGGTCCAACTCATTGCAAAAACAGATTGTATTCCAATTTTCCAAATATAAAAATACTGAAAGTTTTTTATAAAGTAGACTTAGAGGCCAGCCAGATTAGTGGATCTTCCAGCAATTGCTTCATTTTGGATGAGTTGGAATATTTAAAACGGCTTAAGAGTCTAACAGTTTCAGTTTCGGTTGGGTGCATTGTAACCTTTCCTGAAAGGTGTATTTTTCCTTCACAACTGAAGAAGTTGAAGTTGAGTGGTACTAGTCTTTCTTGGTGGGATTTAACAGTAATTGGGAGGTTGGAATGGCTTGAGGTACTAAAGCTTGAAAATGCTTTTGATGAAGAAGTATGGGAAGTAGCTGAAGGAGGATTCTATAGATTAAGATTGCTGGTTCTCAAAGATAAAAAGCTCAAAAGGTTGGAGGCTTACACAGATTCTTTTCCATGTCTTGAGCATCTAGTCCTAAGATGTTGTGAGTGTTTGGAAGAGATCCCTAGCAGTTTTGGCGAAATTTTCTGCTTGAAGTCAATTGAAATGGATAGGTTTAGCCACCGGCCTTCCATTGTTGCTTCTGCTAGGATTATTCAAGAGAAGCTAAGGATTATTCAAGAGATCCCTAGCAGTTTTGAGGTTAGAAAGAAGCTCTGCCTTACTCATTCTTTTTATTAGATTCTGAAGGAAGTTGTTTGCAAAATGTGTTACATACTATTTAATAAATTATTTGTTTTTTGTATTTTGCATTACTTGATGATTCATAGATTAAAATCCAAGGGCAGGGGCCTGAATATATAGAAGATGTTGAAAAGGAAAATTCTGAGGTTAGAAGTTATGTCTCATTCTTAATTTTATTTTTTTCTTGTTTCTTAGATGCATTGACCTTGTGTGCAAAATCTGTTATTATTTGTTTTCCTTAACCTCATTTGTTTTGATAGATAAAAATGGAGGAGGGTGAATCATCAGCAGGGACAGGGGGCAGATGGTAGAGAAAGAAATTGGAGTTGGGAAATTGAAGTCTTACATCCACAAATTAAAGAAAACGAGATTCAGAAATTTGTTAAAGAGGCGCAAGTCCAAAAGTGGCTCTTCCAAGCAGATTTGAGAAGAGCAACATGAGGCCATGAAAGAATTGGTCATAAGTTTGATTTTTGTAATATTCTCTCTGTTAAACCTGTTACAAAAAGGTATTTCTAGTGTGGTTTACCGCACACCTCTCTTGCGTAGTTTTGAAGTTATTACACGAGAGCATGATTTACCTAGTACTTACTCTCAGATAGTGATTATAAGTTCACGAGTTTCTCTCATCACCCAAAAAACAAAACATCCATTAGTTCTCATCTTGATTTCTTTCATCCCTTTTTACATGGAAATCTCAGCTAAAACAATCTACTGTGTTCATTTGGTTTCCAGATTTTACAGCAGCTAGCTAGGTCTTGATCTTGAAAAGAAAACCAATCGCCATGTGACGTGTAAATCAATATCAATCAAGCAGTGCCGCAGTGGCATTGGTTGACAACCCCAACATCTTTTTCAGACTACTATGTGCATGCCCTGCCTGATTCATCGTATTCAGCCTCCTTCATTTCCAAGCATTAAAAAGTAGTGCAAAATAGAGAAACCAAATGAGATTAGGAAACATTTTAATAAGGGAAAATTGTAAAAAAGTCCCTCTATAATATGTCAATTATCAATGTCACCTCTGAATTATGAGTGGTGTAAATGTTGCCCCTCAATTATCAAAATAGTGCACATATATTTACTTTGAACCGAGGGAGGGAAAAAACAAATAAATTACATATTTATTCAGACTTAACGGTGTCGTACACTAACGGGGAACCACATGTCCGTTACAGAGGGGCTATATGTGTCCCATTTGATAATTGAGGAGCAACATTTACACCACTCATAATTCAGAGGTGACATTGATAATTGACATATTATAGATGGATAATTTTTTTACAATTTTCCCTTTTAATAAATAAAGAAAGAGAAAACAAAAAAAAAAAAAAAAAGAGGATAATTTTTTTACAATTTTCCCTTTTAATAAATAAAGAAAGAGAAAACAAAAAACAAAAAAAAAAAAGAAGAAAGATTAAGAATGAATTCTAACCTCAGAGCTGAGTTTGCCTTTTCAAATTTGCCAACCCCAACATCTTCTTCACACTCTACAATATACCCCCATTCACGAAAGAGTATTTATCAAACTGATTTTTTTATTTACAGCTTCAACAAGAAAGAATCTTAGAAAGATTAGTCCTGCTCAATCTTAACACTTTTATCTCTAAGGACCACACTAATAAGCCCTGGCAACTTGCTAATTTCCATCAAATCTGTCTTAGAAAGATCAGTTCCTCTCAAGCTAAACTTCTTCAATTGTGAAGGAAACATAAACCATTCAGTAAGGGTCACAGTCCAACCTGCCAAAACTGAAACTGTTAGCCTTTCGAGCTGTTCTAAATAGTACTAGTATATGTTATCCAAAATGATGGAATTTTTGGAAGATCCATGAGTGTGGCTTGGCTGTATATCATCTTTATAGAAAATTTTCAATTTTATCAAGTCTGGAAAACTTTGATACACTTCCATCCCACAATGAGTTGGACTCACCCAAGATAGTGTTTGCAATTTCACTTTAATATTGCATGGAGGATCTACCGTACCGTATACATATCTCCAAGTTCAAGGTGTCTCAACAGTGGTAACTCCCAAATTTTGGATGGCAAATGGATAGTAGGAGCTCCAATTTGTGGTCCATCACTATAAACAATAAGTGTATGCAAATTTGGGATGATTGACACTATATTGCCCAACCCCTCAAACCTTTGAGTTATAGATAGGTATCTCAAAAACACTAAATCACCTAAATGCATTGACACTCTTTGGAGGAATGGAGGCGGAACAAAGGCCAAAACTCTTAGGAGCTTGAAAGGAACAAAAGTTTTAGGATCATCACTAAAGAAGAAAATCGAGCGGGGGTTGTTAGTACTAAACAACACATAATAGTCAAAACTATGTTTGCATAAACTTAACCAACGACTCGATTTTGCAAACTCACTTAATGGCAATTCTGAATGTTGTAGAGTATTTACTGCACAGAAAATACCCTCTCTTTGAGCTTCTCCAACACAAAAACAATGCAAGGCACTATGCATTCTACAACTCCTAATTTTGCCGTTAGAACCCCGGTTGCATACTAGAACAAGACTTCTATCAATAAGTTCTTGTAAATATGCATAACATTGATTTTCTAACTTTTTAAGCTCCAATGGCTTCAAATATCCCTCAGCAATCCAAAGCCCAATAAGCTTTTTAACTAGGATTTTTGTTCGTTTTGGAAAGATTCCAAGATATAGAAAGCACACTTTTAAACCTTGCGACAACTGATTGTAATCAAACATGAGAGCACTACGATCCAAAATCCCCAATGACTCTATTTCTTTTTTAATTAGTCTTCTCCCACTCCCTTAATATGTTGTTGCATTTAGATAAGCGCTCAGCAACGGTAACAATTGACAATGGTAGTCCATCACATATCTCTACAATATCCCTCCTTATGTTTTCAAATTGTGACATACGCTCTTTAGGTGAAAGGATATTGCAAAATAAATCCCAACTTTCATTTGGATCTAGCAAAATCATTTTATGGATATAGTTATACCTATAGAAGAAGCTATCATTGAAATTCAGATTGAAGTGCCTAGTAGTAAGCAATATGCGACTTCCAGAAGTACTGTATGGAAAGCATCTTCGAATATCGTTCCAAAGTCGATTATCCTGAATGTTATCCAATACAATTAGACACTTTCTATAAAGCAAATGTCCCCTTACCCGCTCTTCCAGTTCTTCATCAGGAGCACTTTCCTCTTCTGCAGGTGAAATTGATCGCAGGAGGAGATTTAGTATATGGGTCTTGTTGTATTGTTGAGACATAGTAATCCAACTACGCACGTTGAAATGATTTTCAACTTTTGGATCATTAAAGATACTTTTAGCTAAAGTTGTCTTTCCTATGCCCACCATCCCAAAAATTGAGATTATTTTTAGATTGGAGCCCCACATGAGCTGGTTGATTATCCTTGTACGATCACCATGACGACCCACAAGCTCCAAAGAGCGGCGTGAGGATCCATTCTCAGACTGGGATAATGCATGTTTTAGCCAATGAATCGGTGGTTGAGTTTCATCATCTTCACTGCTAATGCTGTTGATAGTATTCAACAACACTGCTGCTTTTCCTGCTGCTTCTTGCAAGGTTTGATGGAGTTCTTGGAGAGCTTTTTCCTGATACTCTCTGTCTTTGGCCAGAAGAAAGTTGCTTAGTTGTATTTCGATGTCGTCTTCAGCTTTGAGCACAAAGTCTCTGATTTTGAATTCCAAATCATTGATTGCAGCAACACTACTACCCCCATCACTGGATTCCTGTAGAAAGGCTTGCAAAGAAGAAAGGTGGGTAAAGAAAGATTTGATTGGTGCTTGATCACGAAGAGACACCCTTGGGGTGTGTTGCAGAAATTCAAGCTCAATTGTGGAGATGACAGAAGTTAGAGCAACACAAGCCATCTGTGTTGTGTGTTTGTTAATTTGTATAAAAGAATGCAAATGCAAATGGTTTTCAAGTGGAAGCTAAGATCAGAGGGTTGTGATATAATAATATTAGTGGACTTTAAACAAAGCAATCCACCGACCACATTATCTGAGGACAACTCCAGCTAAATTGGTGGGACTGTTAGTTTGATAACAACAATGTTCCAAGTTTGACTTTTAATAGAAGCGACGGCCTATTAATTTTTTTAATTTAAATCAGCCAACTATAGATAATTTAGACTGGTTTACTTCATTGTAATCATTTGTCGGCTAGGTCACAAGGACACAAGGTGACAAGATTTACTCTGTACACACTATCAGGTACTGATTGCGAGTTTCCTACGTCACTGCAAAAAAAAAAAAAAAAAAAAAAAAAGTAATAGTACTTCTGTTTGTAAAAAGTAAGTGAAATTTAAACAAAACCGGCTGAAATAAATAAATCGACATACCACATTATTCATGGCGAAGATTCAGCTGCCTGCCGTGTTAGCTTAGCTAATACGAGTTGAAATCTCACAATTATTATTATTAAATCATTAATTTTTAATAATTGCCAAACAGCGTGCTCATTATTTAATAAGTCAACTATGATATATAACACAATTCAAGTTTAATACGAAGTAATAAATAGGAAAATACTTGTTGTACTCCCATTTTAAACTCCTAACTTGTATTCCCTCTCACATGTTCTTGATGTAAGCATTTTGCCACCTCACGGAGTATAAATGAGAGAGTAGAATTTTGAGAGTCTATGTAGTAGAGCTCTAATAAATAATTCACTAGCGATCATTAATAAAAACAACAAGTGTTTGCAAATTCAAATTAGTTGACACGATATTATTGAAACCCACAAATCATTGTGTTACATATGAATATCTCAGAAAAAAATTAAATTTTCTGTAAAGTTATTCCCATCAAACATATTTATTAAGAATATTTTTTCGAGAGTTTAATTGATGATGGGAAAGTGCAAACGGCCTCTAAAATCTAAATGCATCGGCTGCACTATTTGGAAGAATGAAGATGGAACCAATGTAATGCCACTCTTAACAGCTTGAAGAGTACAAAATTTTTAAGATTTTCTTGAAAGAAGGAAATGGAGCAAATATTGCTTGAACTAAACAACATATAATAGTCAAAACTATGTTTGCATACACTAAACTAACGACACAAATTTACAAATGCATTTAATAACTTCTTCCAATCAAATGATCTTGCAAATGTCAAACCTAGCTAATACATGTTTTGAGGCATTGCAGGATATATATGAGGCCAAAAATGGAGAATTAGAGCAGTTTTCAGAAATATACTTTGCCTTGAAAATCAATATATTCCCAACATCTTTTTCGGACTACTATGTGCCCTGCCTGATTCATCATATTCAGCCTCCTTCATTTCCAAGCATTAAAAAGTAAGCAAAATACAGAAACCAAATGAGATTAGGAAAAATTTTAATTAAAAAAAAATAATATGAATGAATTCTAACCTCAGAATTTGCCTTTTCAAATTTGCCAACCCCAACATCTTCTACACACTCTACTATATACCCTCATTCATCAATTTTGATCTATGAAAAAATGATGCAAAATACAGAAAAAAAAAATAAAAATTAAGCAGTAACAGATTTGCAATGTTCAACATCTAATAACAAAGAATGATGAAGCCAGATGGAGCTTCTAACCTCAAATTTTGCTTTTCCAAAATTTTTATTTAGCTTCTCTTGAATATCCTTGGACCTTGGCAGAAGTGACAATGGAAGGGCGGCTGCACCTATCCAACTCAATTCACTTCAACCACAAAATTTCTCCAAAATTGCTTGGAATTGAATCTCTTCCAAATAATATAATGACAACATCTTAGAACTAGGTGCTCAAGACAAGCATAGAAAGAATATATGTGTAAGCCTCCGACCTCTTGAGTAACCAATTAGATGAAATTTTAAAACACTTTGAAATGTTATTAAAATATTTATGACAAAATATAAAACATAATCAATTAAATAAAATAGTTTGACTAAAAAAAGACATTATATTCATAATATAAATATTTTAATTTCAATTTTCTTTTAATTAGATCAACTTTAAATTTTTCTAAATTAATTAGAATACTATGAAATATAATATAAACTTGTGAACTATATTAACTAAATTATTCACAAAAGAAGTAGACTTTAAAAAACATTTAATTTATAGCTAAAATATACAAAAGTGCTGCTAGTGGTATTCAATCACATGACATTTCATGTCATGACCAAGGTTGAAACCAAGTTACTCTAAGTCCTTAGCAATTAATTTATACATAAATATTGATTTTATACATATTTTACTGCTATATGTGTATGTATATACATATACATATATAAAAGGAGGTGGAGAGGGGTGAGGGTGAGGGTGGTCAACTGTCCCCATTGTTCCCATTGTAGATCCGATTATGGTTCATGGGACATTTGGTTAGTAGTGGAGCCAGAAACAATATTGATGAGTGACAAGTGAAAAATTTAAGCATTTTTATAAATTAAAATCTAATTTTGTTACTGTGAGATATTATTATTATTATTATTATTTTGAAAGTAAACCAGAAAACCTTCATTAAAAGCGCGTAATAATTCGGAAATACAACTAGGTAGGATTTGGAGCCACACCTCCAAGCCAGCTAAGGAACCGGTCGCCCGAGCTAATTCGTGAGCTACACGATTCGCTGATCTCCTGACATAGGATACACACACATTCCCTATGTCACTAGCAATCACCCGACATTGCTTCACAATAAGACCAACATAAGAAAAATCAATAGACTGAGAATTAAAAGCGTTACAGAAATTTAAACAATCAGATTCTAGGATGATGTTATTCAGACTTTGTTCCTTCAACCAAGTTAGTGCCTCTTTAGCCGCAAGAGCTTCGGCCACGAACGGATCACGCTCTCCGTCTAGATGCCCCTTCTTTGCCGCAATGAAACAACCAACGTGGTCGCGTACAACCACACCGAAGCCAGCTCCATCCTCGAACATGGCTGCGTCTACGTTACACTTCAAAGAACCTGTTGGCGGTGGTGTCCACTGCTCTCGGATCCTGGGCTTATCCAACGTGCTCCTCGACTGACTGTATGCCGCTCTCCATGCACATCGTAGCAGGCTCATCAGGTGCTGCGACGTTGTTACTGATGGAGTCATACTATGTCATACTGCGTCGTTACGTGCCTACCAGATTGTCCAGAAAATTGAGGCCAGTTTCACCGCATCATCAGCCAATTGACTGCCCAGAATATGATCCATGAAAGCGAGAAACCCCCTACCTTGCAGTACATCTTCGTTCTCCCGCAGCTACTTCGTGAAATCACACTCACAGAAGAGATGCTCCATTGATTCCGTAACATATCCACAGATGGGGCAGCCCCCTCCAATCCACACCCTTTTCGAGCGCAAATTATCCCGTACCGGTAGCACTCAACAAGCACATCTCCATAGGAAATTTTTCACTTTGGGTGGAGTTGGTAATGCCCATAATGCCTTCCATGCGTGGAATTCAGTGTCTACTGCCGGCTGCAATCTCTCGCAAGAGAGTAAGCGGTAGCCATTCTGCACAGTGTACCTACCCCGCAAATCTCCGGGCCATCTCCAGCAATCTTTAAGATGAGCGTTCACTGGAGTGGCTAGGATCCTGGGAATGTCGCCAGTATGGAAGATATCACGTAAAATATCGCCATCCCAACGACCTTGCTCATTTAGTAGGCCATTAACAGTTGCATGCCGCAGTTCCTACACACACGGTGTGATTAAAGGTTTGCTTGAAGCATCCGCTAGCCAGTTCCACCCCCAGATCTTGGTATCCGCCCAATCGCCAATTCGTCTTGCAATGCCTTGTCCTAAAACAGCCCTCCCGGCCATTATGCTCCGCCATATAAAGCTGGGGTTCCCTCCTATCTGAGCCTCCATGAAATCCACGGTAAAGAAATACTTTGCCTCAAAAAGCGACTTACCAACGAGTCAGGCTGAGTTAGCAATCGCCACCCTTGCTTGGCCAATAATGCAATGTTAAAGTCATGCAGCTTCTTGAAACCTAACCCTCCCATCGCCTTCGGTTTACACAATCTGTCCCAGGACAACCAATGAATCCCCCGACTCCCATTACCACCGCCTCCCACCAATAACGATTGAACATTTTTTCTCAAAGTAACAACAATAATAGTATTTGCATTGACCAGGAACAACGAAAACTCCATATGAGATCTGGAAGGGAAAGAAGCCAAATTTGAAATATTTTCATGTGTTTGGGACTAAGTGTTATGTGCTGGCTGATAGAGAACAAAGAGGGAAGTTCGAACCCAAAAGTGATGAGAGCATCTTTCTTGGGTACTCTCCGAACAGTCGTGCCTACAGAGTCTACAACAAGAGGACTCAGTCTGTGATGGAGTCAGTAAACGTGGTTATCGATGACAATCCGGAAGAATCAGTAGACTCAACAGTGATAGAGTCTTCTCTGAGCGAGTCAGATGCAAGTAACAACAACAGTCAGCTCAAACCACAAGAATCGTCAGACGAAGATCAAGAAAGTTCGGAACATGAGATAGATCTCATAAATGATGTTGGTAAAGACAAACCCACCAGAACTCAGAAAAACCATCCATCAGATAACATTATAGGAGATCCATCAGATGGGATGAAGACTAGGAGCAGAATAAGAAATAATCTGACAGAAATATCTGGATCTGCTTGCTATACCTCAAAGATAGAACCCAAAAATGTCAAAGAAGCTTTACAGGATGATCTGTGGATCAAGGCAATGCAGGAGGAGCTACATCAGTTTGAGCGGAATCATGTTTGGAATCTTGTACCAAGACTTGATGGTGTCAACGTAATTGGAACGAAGTGGATCTTTAAAAATAAAACTGATGAAGCAGGGAATATAGCCAGAAACAAAGCTCGGTTGGTGGCTCAAGGTTATACACAGATTGAAGGGATTGACTATGACGAGACT